CAAAATAAACTTCTTCTGATTTGGATGGAAGTAATGCAAAAATAAATGGTGTTGATATTCCATCACAATATGCATGAATTGAATACATCTGGTAAAAAATTGAAGGACATGTATAAAATGTACCATCACCGTACCAATGTTCTTGTTGTGATAGATGAACGATATCACTGTATGACGAGAAAATGAGTGAACGGGTACCAGCAAGTAATCCATCATATAACAAAAACGATTCTTCATTTGATGTTTTACAGTATGTGTCCGGTAATGGAAATGGCAATTGTGTTATTGTATGTGGAACTGGTGGACGATTTTTCCGACGATGTCTTTGTAATGTATTTTTCATTTATACAGTGGTGGTAAGTTAATAAGTAAATCAGTGCATGAAGACTGACGATTGGCTTTATTATACGCTTCTTCAACTATACGGTCAATTAGACCTGCCTCTGCAGTACTTTTATGTTGTAACGATTTTCTAATTTCCAATATTTTTGCACAAGTATCATCTGGTAAATGCGTGTGATCATCACGTACGACGACCGACAAATCTAGATACGTTGTTGCTGTTGCTTTGCATTGCACACATACCCAATATTCCGAACTTTGATTTTTACGTTTAAAACAGTATCGATAGCCAAGATGATTTAGTTGTCTTTTACCATGAGTAGATTCAACGAAGTTAGCAGACATTTTCGAATAACTGTGAGATAAGTATGGTTTATCCGACCTTTATATAAGTTATAACAAACATCCTGACTCTGATAACTACTTAAATTCACTCAAACAGTGTGAATATTACTCAGATTCCCAGTGTTTGTCACTCATATAGCAACAGAATATACTGAATAGTACTCATTCCCATTTACTCAAACAGTGTGACTATTACTCAGCTTCCCTTTAGGAAGAACAATCGTTAGCCAACTGGCTTCTTAACTGTATACTTTTTCCAAATTATTGAAAAGTAAATCCCTATATCAGACTGTTTAATTAATATGGATATTTTATCTAATCACCGGAAAGTAAATCCGCTATAGGAAAAAAAACATATATATCTCCTTTTCTATAAGAAAAAAGCTAATTAAAATAAAAATTAATCATGGGAAAGTAAATCCTGTATACCCTATAATAATAATCGAAAAGGTTTTTATAAAATCTTCAAACAAAACAAAAAAAACGTCTTAAAATAGAAATAGAAAAGCTAATAAACGCCTAAACAAACATGAGATTCAAAAGTACGAATGATTAAAAATGGAATTACACTCTTTTAATAATAGAAAAGAAAAACTTTGAGCATATCACTTGTACTCATTTAAAGTTACAGTTGACATAAAGGTTAGACTTAATAATTAATAATCAAATGTTTAGAGATCTTCATCTTTCTATTTTAAGACGTTTTTTTTTGTTTCTTTTAAAGATTTCATAAAAAATGTCTAGATTATTATTATAGTTTGTATGAAGAAAACATAGAATTAATTAGTTCGTACTTGCTCTTCAACAACACTGCACTCATGCTTTATTCAAAACTTAGGAAAACATTACAGGTCTAATGCTTAAGCTTCTAAACCAGACGAAGCAAATTTATATTGTCGATAACGTGCTATAAAATGAACAGTCTACGAAAAAAGAATTTTATAAACTTCTTATGTGATATACATAGTGTATCTTTTCTGTGCAGGATCCTTAATTTTTGAATTAAAGCCATTATATAGTACATAGTTGATTTGTGCTGATGATATTTAATTCGGCATTCTTACTGGATGATATTTATGCTCACGTTTTTTTGTATTTTGTGTTGAAGTGCAAAAACTTTTGCTTCAAAATTTTCACCTACATGCGTTTTCATTGAAATTTTCATCTTTTTGTTTATTTCTATTGTGTGATAAAATATCGCCCTGTGAGCTATCAGTGTGTATGAAAGAGCTCTGATTAAAATTACATTGTTCATTCCAAATTCCTACATATTGTTTTTAATCAGTTCCCACAGGCACATGGAACAAGGAAAATATTATAATCTTGTCCGTTTTGTAATATTACATTGAAAAATATCTGTTCATTTTCAGTTCATGCCTCTACATGTCATACAGCACACGTAGATGGGATCGCAAACAAATAACGACATCTACTTTTTGAGATTTTTTCCTGACGTAAACTTTTAACTTTTTCCTTAACTATCACAAACTACTATTACAAAGCTGCTGGAAGTTGACGTCATATGTTTACAGTCTATAACCTCAGAACGACAACGATGTTAATAGTCACAATACAGAAGACCGCCGAGACGATTGTTGGATAGTGAATAACGATGAGTTTATTTTTAGTGATGAAGTGCTCGAAGATATGAGGCTGACACTAGGAGGACGGTAAAGGATAAAAGAAGAAAAGTAAAAGTTTTGATACAGTTGAAGTTCTAATGAATGCAAAGTAGTTAAAAGGAGTTGGCACCTTTTCCAGAAGCTATATTACACATCTTATTTTTGTTTAGTTTAACCCTTTCCAGCCGGCAATTTCTAAAACACAGCAAAAAATGTTACCATATGGCAACATCCGGCTGGAAAGGGTTAACTGTTTTTTTGTTGTGGATGATGTGCGAATTCGAAATTACGAAACCAGACATCGGACACTTTTAGTTTTAGCAAAATATCATTACTCTCAGAGGAGGAGGTCATTTCCAAGGAATTTTCGTAAGCCACCGAACTTACGGCAATTCTATAGATATCTTATAGAAATCTTGTAAGAATCTTGTATAAGGTAGTCGATGGAAATTCATAATTTATTGATAAGATTCTATACGAAGGATTATAAGAATCTTATAAGATTCTGGTAAGATTTCGGTAAGACAGATTATATAATTAGTTTAAAAGAATCTATAAGACTTTGATAAGTTAGCGTACGACTTGATTTACATCGATTAAAGCGTCTGTCTATACGCAAACTGAAGCAAGCGTATGAGATCCTACGAAACACGGGAAAGCTTACACCACAAAACCTATCAAATTCTGTGAATTCCTATACAGGATTACCTAGGATTTTGTCAGAATTATACCGACAGTCCGTTTGCACTTTCCCGATCGGAAAACTTTCCCAATCGGGAAAGATGTTATCTCATGAACCATAAGTCGTCTGGAGTGCGGCCAAGTTTTATTCTGTTGCTTAGGTGATTTTCATTTGCTCTATGTGAAAAGCTGAAGCTCCTTTTTGATCGTTGGTTACGTGCCATGCTAAAACAACTTTTTGCTGAAAAATCCCTTATTTTTATTTCCCGATCGGGAAATAAGACAGGATATTTCCTGTTAGGGAAAGATCAACTAGTTCCCGTTTGGGAAAGATGTATTTCCTGATCGAAAAATAATGTGATACTATGCACTGTACTCTTCTTAACGCTCATTTTGACTTTCTGAAGGCTAACATCTCAACCGGAACCTGATGAAGGGAAAAGAAATTGAATAATTTGTTCTGACACGTATCGAAAGCTGTTAGATTGTCCTATCCAATGGCTAAAGTTAGAGCTCAGTAATTTAACTGTAGAGTTGTTAATGCCTCCAGTGAACTTTATGAAAGAAGTCCTTACTTGAAAATGTGTATTATTGACATTTTTTGTAGTGTGATCAAAACTTTAACTTTGATGAGTCATTCTAAAAACGCTAGTGAAAATATCTACGATGGCCGTCAAAACTATTCACCCACCTTGCTAATTTCTTTTATTAAGGGTATTGCTTGTTGAGGAAAGCTGCTAGACATTTTTTGATCTTATCGCTAGCTAGCCCTTAGTTTTTTGTACATTTCCTGTAAAATTCCAGTTATTATGCCTCGGTTTCGATTTTTGGCAAGTTTTCTTGTGAAATCACCTAATTTTTAACGCTAGAAAGCGTAATATGCACTTTAACTTCTGTATTATCTTATCCCATTTGATCTTTTCATGAATTATTTTGAGACACATATCGTTCGATAGAGCGTCTTCAGCCTATCCTTTGGGACTAAGGTTTAATTAGGGAAATGGAACTTAAATAGGAAGAAAATTATTTGATTCACGTATGAAACAGTAGAATACAGAGTAGTTGACTTACAAATATCTTATATAGCAATTCTTATACGATTCTTGTATGAATCTTATCAGTTTCTTATATAAGATTCTTATCAATATTCTACGCATTTCCATCGACTACCTTATTTAGAAATTCATAAGATCCTTTTACGATTCTTGCAGATATTCTATAAAATTCCTGTAGGAATCCTATATAGAACTGGATCTTTAGAGTTGGCTCTTCTATTATATTATTATCGGTGTTTGCATGAATCGATACCAAACTTTTTACCACATATCTACAAAATAAAAGCAGAAATTATCTTATCAATAACTAGTACTTATCACAAAAAGCTTTCTATTAAAAGATTTATTTTTTTCAGATTTAAAACATTGTTCAACCTATAACTTGACAATAATCCTGAGTTACAAGATGAAATTTTTATGATAGATGTAGATTTTGGGAGCTTCTCTATAGAAAAACGTGTAATAACAGTGAAGGAGAAGAATTTAACACATATTATCACTATAATGCACTCACACTTAAACTATTATACTATCATCTCTCCTCTCCTTAAAAAATGAAAAAAACTACTGTTTATATACGGATAAGGAAAACATGAAAAGAAGAACTGTACAAATTTGTCACTTTCACATTTGCACTGTTATAACAAAAGAAAGAAAAAATAATATAAGAAACAAGGTGATAAGTCTAGTTTAGATTTAACAGTAACAAAAAAATTTGAAAATATGACGTTTAAAAAGATCTCTCTTCTTCCATCTGCTGACTCAAGAAAAATACAATGTGTATCCTATCATCAATTTATACATAATCGTATTTTTAGAAAAAGAAGAATTAATGGTTCTTTACCACTTGCAAGAAAATTACTTTCTCCACATAAAATAAAACGTATATTTGCATATAACAGAGTGTTAATTAATTCTAAACATAATTATATATGTCAAAATGATCTAACAAAATTATCTATTTTAAGAAAACCAATAATAAATGAAAAATTGTCAACATATTACGAATCTTCATTGTTCGATGGGCAATCACCAAAAACTTTGATGATCATTTAAAACTGATGAAATTTTCTAATGGAACTGAAAACCATAGATTTTGGCAATTTTAAGAAACCATATTGATAGTCTAATATTTCAAAAATTAAGAATGATCTTTTTTCTGAAAAAGACGCGTACACTTCAAGCTGGCAAGTGCAAAAAGTGGAAATGATTACTGTTTAATTATTTTAATTTTATTTCCCAATGTTGGCAAAATATGGATTAAATTCATAGTGAATTTAGTCTTCTTCTGAAAATAGAATAAATAATGGCTTAATAAAAGTAACGTCTCTATAAAAATAAAACAAAAACTTTTCCATTTCTTACTCATGCCATCCTATTATGTCCAATATATGAAAGTAAAGTGGAATGAAGGAGTGTGACATAAAGAGAAAGAAAAATCAAACCAATCCTTTCATTTTTAAAGAACACTAGAACTAATTTTAGGCCATAATCTTTTTGTTTTACTGAAGATAGAATTAAACAGTTTGTACTTGTTTTTCAACAATGCTGTACTCATGATTTTTTGAAACTGAGAAAAATAGTAATAGTTCTACTGGTGTAAGACTCTAAACTGGATGAAGCAAAATTATATTGTCGCTAACGTTCTATAAAATGAGCAGCCTACACAAAAAGAGAATTTTACAAACTTTTTATGCGATACACATAATGTACCTTTTCTGTGCAGAATCCTTAATTTTTATATATTTTATACTATTTTTATATATGTATCTGTCTATCACATCCAGGCGAATAAAAAGTATCAAGTATTGGACAATCCTACCTAGATAATCCTATCTTTTACTCGATATATGTGGATGCTAGATCTAAATATTTTGTTGTGATATTGGGCAATCCCACTATGAAGTTATCTAGATATATTGGACATGGTATTCCTCAATATATTGGTCTATTACACCCCAATGCATCTCCCAAGCGAATAAAAAGTATTGAGTATGAAGCAATTCTATCTACGTAATCCCAATACAGTAGTCAATATACCTAGATAATCCAATACCATACCCAATATACTATTCGGTATATTGACGGTCGGATTATTCATGTTTTTGTTTTGTAGCCACAGTATCTAAAGATGTAACACACATACTCCGTAAATTTACAAAGTTGATATTCATATTAAGTCAATATATTGAGCAATAATAGACCGATATATTACAGAAAACAGTACGTCTGCATACAGACAGCAGGGGGTGCAATGTAATACGTGAGTCGATATATTGGTCTGTAACAGACCAATATATTGAGGACCGTAACTCCCTACACCCGCCTTTTTTGGCATCCCAATATACTGAGACGATATCGGGATGCACTAGATGCCATGCCGAACATATCTAGATAACCGAATAAAACTGACACCTATACCTAGATATTTTCATGTATGAGTTTTGCTTGGGTAGTGAACCAAGAAATCCATTATATAGTATCCTCGTGGAAAAGAATAGTTGCACACAGTATTTTTAAGATATTTTCCTTATGAAAACATACTTTTACAAAAGTGACCCCATATTCTGATAGCGCTTGGAATTCTCTACAATTTTGTATATTTATATCTTGTCTTGCATTTATTTACTGAAAAACAATTTGAGTGCAATGACGGCCCCCACATTGTCAGTTTCCCATCGACTGCGTTTTGTTACTATTTCTTCAATTTGCTTTTTAAATTTATCATCACTACAGAAATTACTTTTATTCTGATAGCGCCTAAAATTCTCTATCATCCTATATATTTATGTCTTGTCTTACATTTATTTGCTGAAAAATAATTTGAGTACAGCGAAGGTACCCCCAATTGACAAGTACCGAAAAGGTGCATTTTTTCGCTACTTTTTTAGTTTTTTCCACACCATCTGTTCTAAAAGATTTTTATAGACCACGAGAAAGAGCACATTCAGAAGTACAAAAAGAACTGACTTCTCACTTTTGCAACACTTTTTTTACGGAAATAGTAGCAAAAGAAAAAGATTCAGATGGAAAAAAATAACAGATTTTCAAAGTTTTCATTTTTTTCGTCTTTCGTATAATCTGTGTAGTTTTCTTCGACAATTTCTGGACACTTTCGGACACATTTCGGGACACAATTTCTGGGAATCTGTCGATGAGGGGGCCGTCATTGCACTCAATGTATTTTTCAGTAAATAAATGCGAGACCAGATTTAAATACACAGAGTTGTAGAGAATTCCAAGCGCTATCAGAATATGTGATTATTTTTGTAAAAGTATATTTTCGTAAGGAAAATATCTTAAAAATACTGTGTGCAACTATTTTTTTCCACGAGGATATAAAGTTGATTTGTCCTGATGATATTTAATTCAGCATTATTAGTCGATGATATTTACTCTCACGTTTTATTCTATTTTATGTTGAAGTGCAAAAACTTTTGCTTCAAAATTTTCACCTACATGCGTTTTCATTGAAATTTTCATCTTTTTGTCTATTTCTATTGTGTGATAAAATATCATCCTGTGAGCTATCAATGTGTATGGAAGAGCTCTGATTATAATGACACAGTTTATTCAAAATTCGTACGTACTATTTTTGAACTAGTAATGACTGTGAGAGGAAGCTTTTAGCAACTATGTCATTTTAATTAGAGCTCTTTCATACACACTAACAGCTAACAGGGTGACATGTTATTATAAAACAGAAATACACAAATAGAGCATGCATGTAGATGTAAATTTGAAGCATATAAAACACTACAAAACGTCAGAGTGAATATCAGTCGGTAATAATGCCCAATGAAATATCGCCAGGACAAATCAATTATATATCACAACAAATAATTCGTTATTTTCCTGTACCTCTGTTTCTTCTTGGCTCCATTGGTATAATATTAAACATCATCATTTTTACCCGAAGATCATTAATATCAAATTCGTGTGTTGCCTATTTTCTGGCATCAACTGTAACCAACTGTTTTGTCGTTTTTTTTGCGGTACCCAGTCGTATAATAGGGGATGGATTTGGTCTAGATCCAAGCACGTATTCTCTCGTGTACTGTCGCCTGCGTTATTACATACCAATGTCAACGCGATCCTTAGCCACATGGTTTATGGCTCTTGCATGCGCTGATCGATATTTTTCAAGTTGTCATAGTGCCAGACGGCGCCAGCTGAGTTCAGTATTCAATGCCTGTTGTATAGTAATAGCCACCACCGGACTTATTCTTTTACTTTATGTTCCTATACTTATCTACTTTGACATTGATCCAACTCAAAATCCCATTTGTTACGGTCGTAAAGGGTTCTATCGTATATTTGCCGATTTCTTCTACTTGGCATGTTATAGTCTTTGTCCAACTCTGGTCATGGTTGTATTTGGCGTATTGACAATCACAAATGTCAGAAAGATTCACCGACAAGTTTCGACAACAGCAACAGCGAACGTCCGTTTAAAACGTAAAGATCGTCAACTAATTCTCATGCTATTATTTCAAGTGATCGTCATTATTGTGACAATACTACCGCTCACAATACAAAAACTCTATGCAACCTTCACGGCAAACAATATTAAAAGTCCAATCCAAGTGGCTTATGAAAATTTGGCATTGCAAATAATTCGTTCAGTCTCATTTATGAGTCATTGTCTTAGTTTTTACATATTCACACTTGTCAGTGATACGTTCCGTCGAGAACTTGTTCATATCTACCGGTTCTGTTCTAAACATGCCCACATTACAACGACTCGGACGACTGAAACACGCACAATGACTCGAATGAGCACAGCGGTTAACCGCACGGGAAGTATTTAGCACCATAATCTCTTATTGCCTAAATTACTATGCTTACTTATTATACAATCATTCTGTATATAAATCATGCTTATGTGTACTTCTTCATATCATATGCCCTGTTCTAAAGACATAATTACTGATCCGTGCGCACATACTCTTATTCTATGTTTTATTATGAATAATCATGTAATAATTCTTGCTAAATAAATTACTCAACGCGTTCTGAATAAACTTATACCAGTTTATATGTCCCAAGTAACAGCTCTGTTTCAAGTAATCGATGGCCCTAATTTCGAGTATGATAGTCACGGCAGTTTAGAACTTTGGAGATCCTGTTTTTAGAAAACCCTTTCTTTTAGAACCAAGAACTTTTTTCTCAAAGTTAATTTTTGATCTATATGAGTTGTCGAGTATGTCCGGTTACCTACGAAAATAGGTTTTTAGGACTACCGGATACGTCCTAACGACGCTATTATTTTTTTAATACCCATGTTTATCCGGCAAAAAGCCAGCAATTTTAATCTCGGTTAACCGGACAGTGTGCAACAATGTGGACATTAGGTGGAAAAATGAAAATGAGATTTTTGTAACTTTGAACAGTGGTATATATGCATTAGCCAACGGCCAATTTATTTGTGAAAAAATTTTGGTTCTAGCGTTTATCATCCTTGAGAAAAGTACGTCGTAAACTTCGGGCTTTTTTACGCTAGTTTAGTCAAAGTTGATTTATCTTGTCAGATGATGCGATTTTTGAGAAATGAAGTTAATATTCTGAAGGCTGAACTTCTGAGCTATTGATTGGTAAAATGATTTTCGTTTGGAAGTCCTTTCTGCCTGAGAAAATAAGTTTTTTCTTAGAGTAAGCGTTTTCCTGTGCTCAGTAAAAGGAGTTTCAGAATTTTTCCGAATGTGCAATCTTGATGAAACTTTCAGAAAATATTCTTATACATACGACACAGCTGCACTGTTTGCGGCAAATAGGGGAAATTTTTTTGACAGAAGATTTTGATTTTGCAAAAAGCCCGGTTTTTCAGAGGATTTTCCCGCCGTTTCTCTCCTCTGATAGATTATTTTTCAAAAGTAATGACAGATTCGAAATCAGCATAAAAAACTGCATCGGATGGTCTGCCTTTTACTGTCTTCCATTAAAATTAATTTCTGAGAAATCCAGCTCTCAGCGTAAAACGCTCCTTTTCAGCTTTATCGGCCGTAATGACGTTACACTACGAAAAATAAAGACGCCAATTATTATCGACTCGTCATATTAAATGATTCACATTCATTACAGATTTACCGAATCTGTGGAAAACCCTAATAATAACATCTTTGAACTTGCAAATTACACCATTGGAAAGGACGCATAGAAAAACCTATAAAATAGTGTTTAGAGACTTTAGCTTTACTTTGATGACACATGTTCACGTGCCTAGTCAAAATTGACCGTTCGCCACTATCTATTTACATGAATACTATACCTATGCTTAGGAAAATGTGTTTTCTTTGTTGACTTCAGACATAGAATAGTATAAGTTCACAAAGTGAATATTAAGCGACAATAGAGAAAGTCTCGATTAATATTACCTTGAAAACAATAAAAGTACTCGCAATTTCACTTAACAAGCGCCTGAACAAGTGCTTATCAAGTGAAAAATCAAGTACTTGCATGCTGGACAAGTACTTACAAGTAAACTTACTTCTGGAAAAAAGACAAAAACCGGCTTCATTACGTAAGCGGAGTACTTGTCCCAAGTACTTGGGCATAAGTACGTTCTTTTTTGGAAGTGGCACCCACCATCTCGCACATAATATTAAAGACCATTGTTTCAACATTTCATCGTAATTATTCACTGCTCACTCCTCAAGTGAGCAATCTCATACTCAAATTTTCCACTACTCTGGCGAAGAGTGTTGATTTTCAAAACAGAAGTCATTGCATCATGTTAGAAAAAATTGTTTCACTTAGCAGTTCAAAGTGCGTCTAACTAAAACTTAATAACCAAAAAGTAAATGCTCGTTGGGAAACAGGCGATCACGCTGAATACCGGTAATTACAGCGGCGCAATTATTTCGATAGCATCGATTTCTTGGAGTAACAGATAAGAGGAAAATCATCTGAATAAAAGTTTTTATTTTACTGCAACCGTCGATCATCTTTTATTTTGAAAATCAATGTCGAGAATTATCGCAACTGAGTAACTACAACTTTTGTGTATTATATAAAACCATTTAAATTCGAAAGAGGAATTAGTTGTAAACGACTTGACCCTTTTCCCTATCAGTCCCAATAAAATTCACTTTTCTTGAGAACGAAACAATATTTTAAAAAAGCGCTTCATATTTTTAAAGCTGCCCTCTCAACGATCCAAATGTAAACGACAAAAATTTGAAGGTTTTTGAAACTGCAGCACTTTTTAAAATTTTGAGCCCTTGAAGTCTGTTCTCAATTATTTTCCTCAAAAAAAGTTTTTGAAAAAAGTTAAAAAAGCAGCTTTTCTTAAGCAGCTCGAGTTGCACATTCAACCAAGTGTAAAAAACGACACAATTCTGCTTTAAATTTGAATTTCCGGCACCTTACTATCTGCATATTTCTGGATTATCGTTATTAACTCAAAAAATACTATGTGCAGTGCTTAGAAACAAACTTGTGAATATCTTGCACGTGAGCCGTCAAAGAGTACCGCCCCTGTGGCGAAGTGGACTATCGCGTCTGGCTTCTAACCAGAAGTTCGTGGGTTCGATCCCCACCAGGGGTGAATTTTTTTTTACTTTAGAAAAAAATAGCCTATTTTTTTGCATTTATATGTCCAATTAGATGAGGTGCACATATTGTTATTTGAGCGAAATACTGTGAGTCAATATGATGTAATAGTAGGGATAACATTTGTGCTGGACGATATGGTAGGATCCAAAAGTGGATGTGAGAGAGCCGATTCTGCAAAGAATTGAATTTCTTTTTATACTTTTCAGTGGAAGGTTATTAAAAAGATCATTTTTTTCACACTATCGCTGAGAACCGTTCAGTTTTATACATAACCTCTCGTACGAGTTCGTACAGTACGATTTTGATATGATTCTGACTTTATGACGTTCAGATATTTCGAATGAAATATGGTAATACAAGATCGTATTGTAATAGGCGTGTGGTCATGTCAAAGCATTTCATACGAGAAATATTAGATTGTGTTCTCCCCAAACAATTACAGATCTGTTGCTTAACTGAGCATTAATAATATTGATCAAAAGGCGCATATACCCAATACTCAGGCTTTCCGATTGTGTTTAATAAGGGTGGAGAGATTTCTTTGGCGGGCAGTCTATTTAAAAAGTTGGCGGACACTTTTTTCCTAAATAAGTGAAACGATCGTTAATTGAAAAGAATTTTTGTTACTCCGTATCAGAATTTATTTTCTCAACGAAAACAATATTTAATGTTCGTCCAAGTCATTCATAACGATATATTTCCTTCTTTGGTTCGACCTGAATGAGAAATAAAATCTTTTATAACAAAATTAGTAGCTTCTGGGGTTAATGGAAGTTGTAAACTCGGAGTTTTCATACATATTTGGAGGATCACGTATCCTATAAGATTTCGTGTCCATGTTTTCACTCGACGAAGTGTGCTAAAAACCCGTCCAGCTTCGTTTGACCGAACAATAAAGAATTTAAAAGACTATCTGCCAGTTATTCTGACGGACAATCAGTACTTAAAAGAAGGCAGAACATAAACTTCAAAAGTTCGGTGGACTGTGTCAAAACTTAGAGTGGGGAAGTCCCCCACTTCCTCGCCTAATCAGAAACGCTGCCAGTACTAACAATAAAACATAGTACTGAATTACCATAATATTGTCTTGTTTAATATTTGGGAATAGTTGAGAAAAAAAATTCGTTTAGACCGTGTTTGACTATACAGAAAAGTAAAAAACATCAGAACTTGCGAATATCTCTGCGAATAAGTTCTGAAGATAATTGGTTCATAGGCTATGTGTAATCAATACGTATCGGTTATTGTTTTTTCATTAAATGCAAATGTATTATCCATTTAACAATCATTTTCTTATCGTAAATAGCATCACCATCTTTATTACTACTAATATCATTTGATGATTCTGTATAGCACTTAGCCAAATTGTCTGCTAATGTTTTTAATAATTGTTTCAATTTATCTTGTCCATGACGTTCACGATACGTTTGACATGCACTCCATGTTTCAATCATATTTACAAATTGAAGAATAGACATTTCTCGTTCATATTCGATAACATGTTTTATTCTTGTTTCTTGATATGGAAACGTATCAAGTATTGATTCATAATGATCAGTCAATAACTGTATTTTATCACTCCAATAACCATCAAGGTCACAGTGAGAGAATTTGTGCTGTACTTCGATGGCTTTTGGATTATCTAATAATGGAAAACCAAGACTCCAAATACTTAAAACACCACTATTTGGTTTTAAGATACGATTAACTTGTTCAAAAAATGTTTGAATATTAAACCAATGTAATGCTGTTGCTACTGTAATAAGATCAATTGAATTAGGTGGTAAAAATGTTATATTTTCAGCATTATGGCACTGGTATTCAATATTTTGTTTTAATGTTGCATTTTTTAATTGATTTTGACTACCATCAATACCAATAACTCGGTGACAGTAATAACTTAAATCAACAGTGGCTTGTCCACTACCACAAGCCACATCTAAAGCTAATGGAATTTTTTTATCATCGTCGTTGAGATTAATATTAGTTGTATTAAAATAAAATTCCAAAATTTTTTTATATAATTCTTGTGGATAATCCGGACGAAATGCTTTATAGTTTGCTGTATGATTTGATTCAACAAATAATGGACAATTCATGCTGAGAACACACACGATCTTCTTTTACTCTGTTACACAAATTTTTCTTCGACAACGAGGCAATGAAGTTATTTCTTTTATTATTTTAGGGTAATCAAAAGAATGAAACTACGATAGAAGAGTGAATATATGTCTGTTTTAGACATATAGGTAAGGTCATGACATATTAAAATAAATATTTCAAAATAAAAGGAAGATAAAACATGCAGAGGAAAAAAAATTCTAACTATGTGTATGATCATACATTTGTATAACAGATGAGAGAAGATTGGGTGTAAGCAAAGCCATCAAATATAATTAAACGTGTGAAACGTTGACGTAGACTATATTCCACGCATAGAGAAAGTTATTCATTTCACTCGATGCGTAGATATTGGCAAAAACAGAAAAAACTGGTATGTACAGAATAGAACAAATATTCGTTTTCTATTAGGCCTCAAGCATTCGAACAGAGATATATCTTTATTGGCATTTGTCCCACTTTTCCTCACAGAAAAGATAACAGTTATATTCTCGCATTTTGTTTTTCGACTAACAAAATGGCGGAACAGAAAGTAGAAAAAACAGTCTGATATACAGTAAACGTCATAAGTCTCGCACCATTTTTTTAGTTTAACTCGTGTATACACAACATTAATTTAATTTGATTATATGTCTGTATAGTAGAGGTCGAGTACTATATATATACATCCGTTTAATATGAAAAATCCTCGAATATAAAATGCAATACAAAGAGACAAAGGTCAGTCCCAAGAAAAAAATGACAAAAAAGACGAAATGATATTGTTGTTACAGGATCCTTTCATGGACAGTCAACCACAAAAAACACAAAGTATTCAGAAAACTTCTCATTTTATCAGACTTTGTAGAGCTTTTTTCGCTGATCATTTTGATAAAAAACATTTTGGATTTCATTGAGAAATGACGGTGTTATAGTCAAAATACTAAACACTGTGAAATACCGGGTGTCCCAAAATGTTTGCAACATAGTTTGTTTTGCGAATAGCTCTGCACAGGCAAATGACAAAATCTTGATTTTTTTTTAAAAGATGCGTCCTGAAAAGTTCTACAAAACTATAAGAACAAATCCTTATTGACTTGTTCGCATGGTTTCTTCCATTCTTGCAATGAAAAAATAATACATGATAGTGCTACTTCCCACTGTATTTAACATAATAAAAATGTTTGGAAGAATGTGATATTTTGCATGTATCTCGGCTTAAGAAAATGGTAGCACCATGATTTTTTTTCAGAAGATGCGCCGTCGAAAGCTCTATAAAATCTGTATAAACAATTCCTATTGTAAAACAAAAACGTCTTCTAAACATCTTTTTGATTTCAACGTCTTTTTTTATTTCATTTTTTTCTCAGTACTGAACTTCGTCTTTTTTTATTGTATTATATATTCAAGAGAATTATGACCAGGCAGATTTTAAATTTGACTAGGCAGAATTAAAATTCTAATTTTGACTAGGCAAATTTAAAATTTGACTGAAAGATCTCTAGACAAAATTGAAATTGTAACTCTGACTAAAAATAAGTAGGCAAAATTAGAATTCGACATTATTT